CCTCTGAGCAGTGATCGGTCATGTATAGAGTACAAAGCGTTCCAGCCACTCACTCGCTCATGCAATATAAGCAGCCCCCCCATCTCAAAGTGGCGGTCTGTCCTATATAAAATGCTCCGGCCACTTGCTTCCGTTGCGTTCTGTGTTGAACACCGGCTTTGCCGCTGTTTTCTTATATGGGTGTGAAATATTGCTTACACTGTCCATAATGCATGCTGGCATGGCCGATGTTCATCAACTCCTGTGATAAGCACTGGTGGCGCAGCTGTTGTTTATGTGGGTGTGTAGTAGGACTGGGAAAATAAATTGATGCATCGCGAATCGAGAAATGATTCAGCATCGATTTTGAGATTTTCCGAATTCTTTCTCGAGTCGATTCTGAGCTTAGTTAAGAACAGCAGATGGCACTGCATGCACTCTGCTCATTTCCAAATCCTTGCACACACTTGAACCTAAAATAATCATTCATAAAATTCAAAAAGGTTGAAGCGAATTCAACAGTGGGCTGTGTTTATATTAATCTCGAGTCATAAAAGCATTCTGAGCCAAGGTGAAATTACACGACTCAGCCAATACGCACAAGCGCTCTTCAGCGCTCTTCTTCATGAGCATTTGAGTGTGCGGAAAAAAACTACAGTAGAGCGCCATCTGCTGTTAAAATCTATGCTCAGAATCGATTCCAGAGAGAATCGCGATGCATTCGGAAGATCTCAGAATCGATCCACGAATAGATTCTGCATCGATTTATCGTCGCAGCCCTAGTGTGTAGTGTTGTGTTCCTTAGCTACTGTGCACGCTGGCGCTGCTGCTGATCATCGCTTTCTATATAAGCTCTACACAACTGTTATCTAGCCCAGCCTCAGCCCCTTGCATAGGGCCTGAACCAGCAATGAATCCAGAGAACGGTCGTGGCCGAAACGCTGTGTTTTGTAATCAAAAACTAGTTGCCCTTGAGCAATGACTGTTCCGTTGTGTGGCTTGACAGCTATAAGACAGAATACAGAAAGTTCTTCTGTATTGAAACTCTTTTCACTGGTAAGATAAAGTTCCAAATAAAAGCATAAAGTGCTTCTGTCCATGTCGGATTGTACGGAGGCCTGACATGCTCTTCCGGGGACAGAGAGTGCATTATCAGAACGCTCCCCCGGACAGCTTGCGCTGAAACAGATCCTCTCGCAGGCTGGCCGAAGGACTGCCATTTCAGTGCATCTGGAGAATGCCTGCCTCTATGTTCAGAGCATCAAGAGTGTTTCTGATGTTGCTTCATAGAGTCAATTGCCCAATAGAGATTCATCTCCACTCCATGAGGAGTCTTGCGGCATCTCGGACTTGAACTAAGGCATGTCTATTCGGGATATTTGTTTTGCGGCAGGTTGGTCCTTGCAAAACGCTTCCGCTAAATTTTATTACCTGAAAAGTCCCCTTATTCTTACCGCATGTTCTGTCTGTGCAGGGGAAGACGGCTGAGCAGCCATTGAATGACTGAGAGATTTCGTGGCTACGCCCCTCTCTCTACGGCACATGCCATAGGTTGTATAGGCCGATGTGCAGTGCCATTGCTCGCATTGTTGTTAATAGCTACTGCATATGCAAAACTGATGCATTCATGACACAGCTTTCTGTGTCCTATTATTTCAGCAGTATTCAGGTGCTACAGATGTAGCTATCTGCCCTGTTTTTGTGCTTATGAACTTGGTTCTTCCCACAGATTTATGCTGGACGCTGTGAATATGTCACTCGTAAGAGCTGGTTTACTGTTGTATGCACCAATATGTTTGTTGCTTATTATTACCACACTCTGCATTTCGTTAGTCCAGCATTGCTCAAATGTGTATATTCATGAAATAATTGAATGCAGATCTCTCCCCTCTAAATGAGTGGAGTTTGTGCGCTAAATAATTCTGGACGATTGACATAGTCCATTCAGGGAGTATTAAACCATCACAGACTTCTGCTTCTCAATCACCCAGAGAGTGCAACTGGGCTTTGTTGTGATGCGAGCTTGCATTTCACAGGGGTGCTCACAGTTTGTAACTTATACTTCCGTTCATTTGGAGCCGAGAAGTTTCTACCTTTAAGAGTTCCCAGGAAGCACTCAGGCTGATGGCTGCAACTTTGGCAGTGTGCTTTGCTTTGTTCTCACACATAAGGCGACGATAGCGAGACTGTCAGCTCTCTTATGTCTGTTCTCACGTCCCCCGCTCTTTGCGACCAACAGGAACTGTAATGGACTTAGTGTCCGGATCGTTCTGCTGTGCAGTGCATTAAGTCATAATATATCTATTGAAATGTGCATTCAAGTGAGAGCATTGAGACAACAGGTTTGGCCAGGGCACTGGATTATATCAGTGGGCTTGAATATATCTACTTTATGGACAGATAGTCCCTGTTAGTCACCTTGACTTTTTGCAAGAGTACTTGGACAGCGACTGTATGCCCTCCTTGTTTTAAGTATACCGTCATAACGGCATGACACCATCACATTTATAGTCGCCCAGCAGAATGTCCTGTCAATAAGAATTTTGAGTGGCACAAGAAGGCTGATCACCTCTCGCCCTCCTACATGATCAACTCGTGCTGGGCACTCTGGTCAGTTCTGTGATTTGAATGTTTCCTCACTAGCATCGCGAGTTTGCCTTTGCAAGAAGATTATATCTACAACTTGAACTGAGATTGTGGGTGGTGTCAAATAGATGTTGAGCCCCTGCGAAGTGGTGTTCAACTAGGTCATTTAGCCATTCACAGTCTGTTGTTACAGGTGCAGACACTGCTGCCTTTCTGCGTGAATGGTCGCCCTCGTGGGTTATATCTGTGCTCATTGCTTTTGTACACATTAACGGTGTAAACGCACAGACAGGAATCTGTCATCGTTTTGTTGGTTTCTCCCACATAGTTAGTAACCTTTGCGGAAAAACCTATGCCAGGTGGGCTATGAGGCACCTATGCATGTTGCTATAGCCTGTATGTGTTATTATAGCCTGAATGTTCTTTGCAACTCATGCATTGTCCGTGCAGGAATCAAGCTAGCTGAAATCAATGTTCAGCATTTGTCTTAAACTGTTGCAGCCCTACCGAGTTGGCAGTTTTCGGGATTAGCACCAGTGTTACTGCGGCCTTCGTGTTCATCTGCACTGTGTTAACCCCACGTGCATTATGTTCATGACAGCACTGGCATCGCCGCTACAGTGGACATCAGTACTAGGTGTTGGCACGACCGCCACCATTAACCTCACAGCACGGTCAGCCTTGCTACCGGTTGCAACATTATGCAATAGTGTCTGTGTTGCTGCCGCATGCATTATTTGGCCACCAGCACACTGTGATAGTGCAGTGCTCACACTGTGAATGTTACGTGTCCTGGGGTAAACATTGCTAGGCGATACTGCTGTCGCCTATCCATGTGTCTGTGGTGCTGAATGGCTGCTGTTAATGCAGTCTGGAGACAAGTGCCGACATGAATGCTGGCAGTGAGTGTATAGTTAATCCAGGATGCAGGCAAGACCTTTAATCTGCGATGTGTTTGCAGTAGTCTAATGCTTGTGTAACTTGCTCTTATAGCTGTTATGCCGCTGAGTTTATGAGATCTTCCATTGTGTGAAGTACTTCTAGCTGAGGTCAATGGCTTTGCTTGCAGCTGATCTGTACCTTGGCTCTCGACACAGTGAGATTTTATGAGATACCCAAAGCGATATCTTCAATGACGCAGTGTGGAGAGACCGACTCGAGAGGGAACGTCTCAGGTTACCTAACGTAACCTCAGTTCCCTGAGAGGAGGGAACGAGACACTGCGTATGCTGCCTTGTTTCATAGCTCAGAGTCTTTGTCAGCTGCACTCTGCTTCAGTCCAAAGATTCTGAGGCAATGGCATTCAGCGCCGCCTTATAGTGCGGGGGAGCCCGCCTCTATTTTGCACGCTTAAATACCATTGGCTGGTGAATTCTCGCTGGCGAGATTTCATAAGGCTTCAGTAGTTTCGAGGATAACCCCAAAGCGACATCTTCGATGACGCAGTGTCTCTTAGGGAACCAAGGTTACGTTAGGTAACCGGAGACATTTAGGAATGTGTCTTACCACATCCAGAAACCATGGTAATACTATGGAACTTTTTGTAAAGGTTTATTCAGTTTATTTTCATAACTCTGTTCACATTTCCATCCCAAAATTTAAGTTTCTAACCTAAGAAAGATTTGGTGACATCATATTCCTCATTCGATTCTCACATAATTTTAAAGGGGTCATGAACTGCCTTTGTTTTTTATTTTGTACTGTTCTCTGAGGTCCACTTATAATGTTATCAAGATTTTTACATCAAAATGCGTCATAATTTAGAAGTAATAAACTATTTTCTGCCCTGTTTTGACCCCCCTCATCAGAACGCTCTGTTTGAATAGGCGTGTCGGATTGTAGACTCGGAAGTAAACGCCAACTGCTATGATTTGCTAACAGTTGTGTATGTTTGACAGCCTACATCCTTCACAGATGGACGCTGCTGTGATTTAGGTTAAAAATGCATAAATACTCAGTGCATATCAAACTATCTGTAATAACAGACAAAGTAATAGTGACCATGTGTGGTGTGACATTACTGTCAGATCCAATATATTTGGCACAGCATCATCTTTTATTTTCAATCTTTCTGAAAATCCTGCGTCAAATTGTGCCTTGTTTATAAACAAATCTGTTGTAATTTTGATTTCTCAGTTCATGACCCCTTTCATATAATACATCTTCAACAGTAACATACATGCCATCCTTTGAAAAGTGCATAAACATGATGCATGAACTTTCTTAGTATTGTTTCAAACTGCTTCCCCGTGTGTGCTGATTTGATTGGTCCTTTCTCACTGTTCTCCTGGCTTGCATGAGGCGTGTTGTTTGATGGCGTGTGTGCGATGATATTTATGTTTGCGTGTGTATGATGGTGTTGTTTCTGCTGAGGTTAATCTTGCATGTTCTCTCCCTCCTGTCCCCTGCGTGACACCCCCTGCTGCCCCCTCCAGGACCTTGCAGTGGGACACTGACCCCTCTGTTCTTCAGCTGCAGGCTGACTCTGAGCTCGGGTATCTCCTCCTCTCTGTCTCTTTCTTTCTTTCATTTTCCTCAGATCTGCTGAACTTTTAAATGCATACACATACACATTTACATGTACAAATATTTTTCAACAGATGTACATGCATTTCTTTGGACACCTATTGCCTACATTCAGTGCAGAAATGTGTGAATGAATTTTTTAATTCTTTATTTTGTATTGACTTAAAAGAATGCATAATTTAAAATGCAAAAATTTTAATTTTAAAAAGTAGAATTCAAATGAATTTAAATTAAAATGTTATACTTTACCTTATTACTTTTTACAGCAAATGTTGTCAAGACTACTCTTGTTTGAAAGTATGTATGTATAGATAGATAGATAGATAGTTAGATAATACAGTAAAAACAACAATATTGTAAAATACTATTACAATAATAAATATTTAGGCTGCATTATGCTCACCAAGGTGGCATTTAAAATGAATAGAAAGCTCAAAAGAACCATATAAATTTTTATACTGTATATTGTGAGTATAACATTTTTGATATATGTCTAAAAGCTTAGAAGTTATTGGTTGAAAAGCAAGAAGATTTATAAAATAAAAAAAAACCTGTAACTAGTCCATAGGCAAAGTAACTTTAATTGTAGATGAATAAAATAAGAATTAATATTATATTATTGCAGTGTTTGTCTTGTTTTTAGACCGATTGTGTTCTAGGTTCCCTTCTAATGTCTAATTTACTTTTTTTACATTGATAATCTACATTTTCATATTTGTGAATGTGTGTGTGTGTGGTATTGCACTGCCTTTGTACCGTAGTGTACCATTGTGTATGCAACTTTTTCTTTGTTCCTCTCATTTCTCTATCTCATTCCCCTTTCTTTTTAAGTATGTCAGGTTCAAGTGTTTTCAGCTGGTCACTCTCCAGCTGTGTGCCCAGGGCTGTATGTGACAGTGATTGATGCACCATTCCATTTACATAGAATGCTTTAAACATTAGTTCTAGCAGTCAACTGAGGGTCATGTTCATGGACCTGAATAATGAGCCCTACAGCATATTAGATGTAACATTGTATTTTATCACCGTGATGCAGTCAATTTGTTATATGCACATGCAAGCATGTGCACACTTGTGTCAGGTTGTAGGACATTCATAGTCTGTATTTCTCTCTCCCCAGACGTCGAACACATAGATTGGGACCTTCTAAGATAACTCAGGTGGATTTCCTGCCCAGAGAGGTGGTGTCCTACTGTAAAGAGACTCAGACACCGCTAGCAGCTCATCAATCTGAAGGTAGATACTTACTGTAATATGCTATATGTTTTGAAGATGCTACTTTTAAACTAGACTGTAGATTGTCTAGCTGCTATTTATAATCTAGAGTGGTTAAACTACATTTGAGCTAACCTTGTGATAAAGTAGCCACACTGGCAACTACAAACAAAAATTGCTAATTACATTGAAACTATTTAAGGGGGCAGATATATATAACTACTGGTAGAAGAAGTGTTGATTCATTCCAGTAACACAAATCTAAACAGTTCAACCAATTTACACGAAATGAAACTAATAAAAATAGAAACACAGTCATTTGCATTACTGAGTCCAACACTTAAGGATGAACAGCAGCATTAAAAAAAATTCACTACAAAAAGTTGACTCAAATGAATCTGTGAATCGTTTTTGAATGAGTTAATTTACATTAATCTTCCAGTGAAGCGATTCACTGAAAGGAATCAGTTTAGGAGGGCCTGTGTGATTCAAGTTCGTTCAGCTGTAAAGCTGCATGTACAATATAATGTGACATTCTTTAAAAACAGCACTTTGTCATGCTACATCGTAGATTGTTACTGGAAAACCTGTGTTATTTTGGAAAGAGCTGAGCTATTGTCACACTAATGAAAAATGTGGTGAGCATTGCTTTCAGTTAGTTATTCCCCAACTCTGAACTATAACCACATGAACTGTGGGGAGGAAAATAATGCTATTAATCAATTTAGGTTTTCTGGCTAACTATGATGTGAGGTCACAACCTATGCTTAATACTTAATAAATGTAATTCAAATATATTTTCCTGATGTTTCAGAAGCACCATTTTAGAGTTAGAACTATACAGTTGTTGCCTGTTGTGTGAAGTGAAATTTATGTAGCGCAAAATCAGACATTTAATTACAATTGTACATGCACTCACCTTGTCAAACACTGTTAAGATCTACAATAACTTATTTATGCAATAACTTACTGCTTGGTGAAGAGCTTTGATTTTCATCGCTGTCAGGTGGGCTGTCATCCTGACCGTCTGGTTCCGTTGAAGAGCTCCAAACCTGTGCAGATTAAGATTCATTTGACCAGCTGCGGCCTCCATTTCCTGAGAGGGGAGGTGGGGGGACGGCTTTTTTGAAAAGAGATGCCTGCCCATCAGTGGCTCTGCTTGAAATGGCAGAACAGTAACGGCATTGAGTCAGGCTTTAAGTGGATGCAGACGGGTAATTCAAGATGGCTTCTATCATCAGAACATCACTTGGAGTTGTGCCTACGTTTCTGTGGAGGGCTACCGGTTTGCTTTCACCTTTCTGTTGAGATTGTTGGGTCCACTATCAGTTCAGGTGCATGATATTTTAAAAATATTGTAGATGAATCCTTTTCTAAGTCCTAATTTCTAAATCCATCTACATTTCAATAGTAATATACCTGGGATAGTTCACACTAAAATGAAAGTTCTGTCATCATTTATTCACCTTCAAATAGTTCCAAACCTGGCTCTCTTTTTTCTCTGGAACACAAAAAAAGATTTTGATAATATTCACAGTTTGGTGACATTCACTTTAAAAATCTAAATCAAAATATCTTCTTTTGAAAGAATGATCATTTTTAAATGAGCTTTCCCTTCAAAGTCAGGACTCAACAATAGTGACTTTTGGTTCAACTTTGGTTATATTTTTTATTAGCCCTGTAAACATATAAATAAATTATTTATTTATTTATTTGAATATTTTTAGATACTAGTTCAAATATCTCACAAAAATATACTTATATAATTTTTTTTGTATACTTGAATTTATTTTTTGTAAGTTTGCTTTAGAAAACAAAATGACAACAAATAATTTATTAGATTTTTCATTTACAATAGTAACTAGTAGAAATTATACAGCTATAATGATAATAAAAACAGCTATAATAAAAGTCCATTAACTTAAATGATTTTAGCAAATGGCTGCAATATAACAAAGAGTGAAAAATTTAAGGGGGTCTGAATACTTTCCGTACCCACTGTAAATTCATAAACACATTTTTCTGGTGTTTACTGTAAATACCATGGTAATGTTATTTAGAACAGCAATATTCAAAACATCACTGAAACCCATGTTTAAGCTTGGAAGGTATGAAAACAAAAGATAAAGTGAAATAGCATAATCGGCAATCCTTTTTTGTTGAACTCCTTTAAATGGTTAAATAGTAAACTCGTACCTCATGTAGCATGATACCGTATTAATAAAACTCCTCGAGCTGATTGATTTATGAAATGTGAAAGTGCTTAATCAAAGTCACTTTTGCTTGTTTGTAAAAGAATAATGTCAGGATATTTCTCCTTATTAGTTTAAGTGTGGTTCCTACCACAAAGACGACTTGGCTTCCATTCGTTAACTCGACACAGCAGTCAGCACTGAGCCTCCCTCTTCCACAAGTGTACTCTAATGTACTCCATTGGCTTCAATCATATATCTGAAGCCAATCATATTTAAAGTGTCATATTTCAATGACATTTTAAAATTTATAGCTTTGTTAAAATGAAGCTCACAAAGAGCTCGGCTAATTTGATTGCATCCCCCAGACTCGGGAGCCAGGCCTGGTATAAAATGCAGATGGTTTGAAAAGCACCCTAAACATCTCCATATGGACGGGACCCCTAACAAGCGGCTTTTGGTATATTTGCATAACATCGCTGGTAGTTGTGATGTGAAGCACAGCTTTTGCTATTTGGTTTCCTCTGATTTGGGTTTTAAACCTGCAAGCGGTGCATTAGAAATGAGTGTTTTGTGAAACACAGACTTTACCTCGCTGCTCTCCGTCTCATCTTCTTTTTTCCATCTGCATTTCACACCAGAATCCCTCCATCCTCTCATGGCTCCTTGATCCCTACGCTGGCAACAGCTGCTTGCCATGTGATTGGAGACTTCCTGTCATTATAACTGATGTGTTTTTATTCTTTCCACTTCCTTGAAGCCTGATCAGAATTAAAATTACTGGCGGAATTTCCTGTCAAGGCAGGTCATTTATTCAGCAAGTGCAACCGCTGAGCAGCCTTTGATTGGCCGTTGCCCTTAGCAATCGCACTCTGTACAGTTTATTTGTTTTTTCCTCTCGGCCTACAGATGCAGGCTGAGCTCACAGCTGTCTGTAGGTACAGGTTGTCTGTCCAGGGGAGACCCTGCCCCTGCAAGACCTCTCACATGAGAAAGAGAGGAAGTTTTAATAGGTCTTTCCACCACCTGCTACAGCTTGCTTTCTGTGTTTGTTCAGGCCGCTGCAGAGGTTTCGTCCATTGATTGGTGAAACTAAACAGATGCCTTTTTTCCTTTTCTTTCTTTTTCCTCTTTGACCCTCTCTCTCTTTTTCCCTGAGTTGGGGGATGCAAAAACCGCCCAGGTGTTAGCCCCCGATAGACTGCACTATAACACTGTCATGAAAGCCAGCAGTGCCTGCAGAGACCCTTGTACCAGCAGCAGTCAGCATGTAGTTTGATTAAGGTCAAATTAACCTGAGCAGTTTCCAGTATACCCTCTACTTACAATACAATGGCTAAAGATATGCTTGGTTAAATGTCTCCTAAAAGGCATACTGGTAACACTTTACAGTAAGGTTTCATTTGTTAACATGAGTTAACAATTAACAATACTTATACAGCATTTATTAATCTATGTAATGTTTATCTCAACATTTTTTAATACATTTTTAAGATCAAAAGTTGTATCTGTAAACATTATTTAATGCCCTGTGTTAATAAACAAATGAGACCTTACTGTAAAGTGTAAAGTAAATAATTATTTTTCTATTCCCTTTGTATAAGGTGGTAGTCCTTTTCACGTGTGTGCTCATACAATAAACCTTAAAATTATAAAAGTATTTTAACATGCGTTGTTCAAAACACTAACTAATCTACAATTCCTGTAGCATTGAGGATCCTTTTCCATTTAGACACTACTGTTAAAAAGTTTGGGGTCAGTAAGATTTTATGCTCATCAAGACTGCATTTATTTGATGAAAAGTGTGAAATAATAATAAATTGTGAAATATTATTAAAATTTAAATTATGCGTTTTCTATTTTATGTGTTTTTCTGTTTTCTATTTTATGTATTTTTCATGGCAAAGCTGAATTTTCAGCAGCAATTACTCCAGTCCTCCATGTCACATGATCTTTCAGAAATCATTCTAATATTCTAAACATTTCTTATTATTATGTTGACAGTTGTGCTGCTTAATATTTTTGTGTAAACCGTGATGCATTTTTTTTTCAGGATTTTTTGATGAATAGAAAGTTCAAAAGAACAGCATTTATTTGAAATGGAAAGTTTCGAGGAAAAAAAACTTTTATAAAAAGACATTTTATAAATGTCTTTACTGTCACTTTTGATCAATTTAACACACACACACACACACACACATATTACTGACTCCAAACTTGAGAAGACGTGAGAAGAAATTTGAAATGTTTAGGATTCTATGCTACATCTAGGTCACTAATCAGTCAAATTTGTGACACTAATCATGCAGATTCCTTTGTACAAAAGGTCAGAAGATCTTGTTTTCACTGAAGTACAGGGTTTTTCTTAGGCTAATATCTGATGCCTTTGGCTTAACACACTCAGGCAAAGAGTTACTTAATGGATCCAAAAGGTTGGCCATGTGTATTGTGTTCGTCAGCTGTTTTGTTGACCTCAATTTAGCCCTCGTTGCAGGTTTAGTCACGTGCAGCTTCAGCCCTTGTGCTTCCAGCAGTATCAGATCCCATGATAGATACGGTTTCAGAAAGATTTCCGCTGGTGGTCTGGGAAAAGTTGGCAAAAATGAACGCCAAACCTGTTAGCCAGTGGCTCATTTGTGGTATAAGCCTTCCAGATCTCACCATCAGAGGCAAAAGACCTTAAAATGACATTATTGTGAAGCAACCGCACTGGATGTGTGTAGCATGAAGTCATGACTCAGCGGTACTCAGTCAGGGGTTGTGACCCATCTGAACTTTTAACCACGCTGAGAAGCCTATTCTCTCCAGCCGTAGTTTGTCTCACATCAG